TAGTAGGAACTGCCGATGCCGGAGAATCTGAGATAACGAGGTGTAGAACTGGATGAACACAGCACGCCGAGCAGGAAAGCTGACGTTTCGGGTCGGGACCCGAAACGTCAGCTTTCCTGCTCCTCTGATGCTGCCTGGCCTGCTGTGTTCATCCAGCTCTACACCTTGTTATCTCATCCACCACCATCTCCAGCCAGCATTATCCACACTACAGTACAATCTGTGAACCTTCAGCCGTCTGTAGAGCCACAAACAGATGCTCCTATGCTCGATGCTCTCACCCAGAGGTGGGCTGAGCGACTGGGTTACAACAATCACCTCACCTGGTACTTGTTGGTTGAATTAAATGGAATCTCGTTAATTTTCTTGTTCTTGTCCCTCATTGCTTTCACAGAACCTGAGGAGAGTTCAATACATTTCAGCAGGGCAGACTCAGAGGCATCACCGGCGACATCTCGCTGTGAGGGATAGGGAGAGAGAGGACAAAAAGCTCAGTGTCCAGCTCCAAATACAAACTCCACACACAGATCGCACGGGGAACAACAGTCCGCCTCCCTGCACCAGACCGCAGGGGGCGGTGTCTCACACACACTCACACACTCAGGGGCGGTGTCTCTCACACACACACACACAGGGGCGCTGTCTCACACACACACACACACGGGCGGTGTCTCACGCGCACACACACACACACACAGGGGTGGTGTCTCACTCACACTCAAACACAGGGGCGGTGTCTCACTGACATTCACACTCACACTCACACCACAGAGGCGGTGTCTCACTCACACTCACACACTCCCACACCCCCAGGGGCAGTATGACCCAGCTGGTAGTGCCCATTCCTCCTGTCAGCCTGTACCACTCACTGTGAGGCTCGCTGTCACCTACCTTGAGGATGGGGATGTTTTCCTGACCAGCTTTGAAGGTGGCGCGGTTACAGAGAGCAGCGATTCGAGATAAGGATGCCCAGGTAATGGAACTCTTATCAAAGGAGGCACCTGGGGATGTGAGAGAAACTCATGTAACATCATCAACACCTCAGTCAGAGAGGGACCGGGT